CGCCCTTGGTGAAGATCATTTCGCGAGTCTTCTCTGAGTTGTCGTCGCGCTTTGAGAAAATAACAGACATTTTCTTCACGCTTGAGTCGAATGGATATTCGGCCTGTTGGTGCCAGGTCGGCTTGTCACCCTTGGTCCAGCGATCTAGACCCCAGTTAAACCGAGAGGCAAAAACCTGAATGGCAATATCTGTGGGTTCGCCGCGAGCCTGCCATCCCTCAGTGGCACTTCGGTGGAGATGGGCCAGGTTAGCCATAGCAGCGACGTTAAGAAAGTCCTTGAGTGTATCGTTCTCATTTAGCAGGTCATCTGGCGATGCTACATCACCCAAATTATCCACGCCTACTTTGATCGGGGGCTCGGCCATCAAGCTAAGCTCACCATCTTCGGGGTTGAGAGGTTCATTCGAAGCACCGACTGAGTAAGTTCCTAGGGATGGAATCCAGGCCCTCTTTGCGACCATACGGCCTTGGGTCAGAGTACCGGTCTTGTCTGAGCAGATATTGGTGACAGCACCGAGTGCCTCTAGGGAATCCAGCTTCCGGACAATGACATGGCGCTGAACCATCTGTTTCGTTCCAACGGCCATAGTGATTGTCAACACAACCACCAAACAGGCCGGAATCATAGCCAGACCAGTGGCGACCGCATAAATGATAACCTCGCTATCACCGCGCCAGTTGTTTGACGCAGCAACGACAATCGCGAAAACAACAGCAATGGCAAAGAGCAGAAGTGCCAGCTTAGACAGTTTTCGCTGCAAAGGAGTACCAACATTGGTACCTAGGAACCGACCAATGGCATCAGTGGTCGTCAATGTCCAAGCCTGGATATACCATCTCTTCTTTGTTTCACCTTCAGGCCCGCGCTTAACAGGGCGACGCTTCGAGTCGGTTCCACGGAGAGCTTGAGCGATAGCTCCAATTTCGGTTTTCATTCCTGTTCCCACAACGACACCGCGAGCGCGCCCTCGGGTCACGGTTGACGAGCTGTAGGCGATGTTCAGTCTGTCGCCTGGGCCGGTATCGACATCGAAGGTGACCTCTGCTTCTTTCTGGACCGGGAGGGACTCGCCGGTCAGCAGTGCTTCGTCAGTTTCGAAGTTAAATGCTTCAACAAGTCTGCGAAGGAGTTAGATGGCTATTCTGGTATATTCTGTGCGGGGGTTGCGGTACACACCTGACATCAGCAGGAACAGTGTCTCCTACTTTCAATTCGACCATGTCACCGGGGACGATTTCATTTGCTGGGACGGTTGCCGTCTTGCCGTCGCGAGACACTACACCTGTGGGAGAGCTAAGCGATCGCAGCGAGTCCATGGTCTTCTCTGCAGCGTAGTCCTGGTAGACACCGACGACAATATTCAGGGCGATGACGGCAGCGATAAAACCTCCTTCAATCCAGGACTGGATACCGAAACTGACGGCCATGGCGATGATGAGAACCTACAGCTTCTTAGCAATTATTCTTCAGTGCCTCCTTCTGGCTTCTTGACTTACCAGCATCATGGCATTGGCGATCTGCCGAATGACAATCTTCGCCAAGGAGACGCCTTCGTCTCCTTCAAGTATATTCTCGCCATATTTCTCAATGCGTTGCTTGACCTCTGCAGATGTGAGACCATCGTCGGAATTGGTCTGCAGTTCGCTGATGACGTCTTCGAAGGAGAGACTATGGGCGGGCTGGGAGAGAGGTTGTTGTGTAATGCCAGCAGGACTCTCAGAGCCGGAGCCTTTCTGGGCTTCCTGCGACATTTCGCGATTTCGCAAATGGCAAGCGTATTTCTCTAGTTGAGTGGGTTGATTGAATTGAGTGAAAGATGTACTTCTATGAGGCTCTTAAGGGGGCAACTTATAGAAGGTATCTGTAAGAAGATGAGAATGCATACACCGGAATTACCTGAGTAATAGACACAATTCTATGAAGCAACCTTCTGTTCTTTGCTTCGGTGGGGATGTCACGATGTATAAATAAGATCAGAATGCCAGTCGATGGCGAAAGATAACGGGCCCTTAAAGCCGGAAGTAATCTGGTGGAAATCTTGCCCGGCATCTGGGGAACCAGTGTTCTGATAGCAAATCAGCTTCATCTGCCAAACCTTGGGTATCAAGCGGACTTTTCATGGCGTATCACGTTGATTTCCCTATTTAGACGATGACGCAAACGACTCTGGGCGACATCTTGGGCGGTGCAAGCGACAATTACCGACGCTGATTGGTGCGGAGTATTCTTGGCATTCCCTTGGCTGGACAGGTCGTCGTTTTCTGCTCCTCTTTTTAATTTCCCACCTCTGGGCGTCTTGGCTCTTGGCTCTTGGAAAGTCTTGGCATTGAGGGGTTCGAGTGTTCCTCCGCTTCAAATCCGCCTACTTCCTCCAAGGACATTTTTCTACTCCTATGTGGCAAAAACCGATTTCAACTTGCTTTGTTGCCTCAAATAATGGGCCATCAATTATTATTGGGAACACGGTGCCTGAATACATAAGTGACCCGGGTGATCCGATCCAGGTTGCACTGTCTCACGTTGCGTTATTCCTCTATTCTCGTTGGTTCTACTATAAGGCGATACTCCAATTCTTTATTTTTATTTGCTTCTCGTATCTTCGCTTGGACCTGGAATCCATATGACCCTCCACTCATGGCGGACGATTCTATGCCGCGAGAGGAGATAATTGGGGTTGTGATTGGGGCTGTTGCCCTGTTTTCCCTGATCAGCATGATTCCGGTGTGAGTACGGAGGCACGATAGCCTTGGCAACCCCCCACACTTCATGCATACGAAATGTTCTCGAACTTCTGACCTGCCGATCACTAATTTGTATGGTTTTTATATACAGGTTGATCATGTGGCATCACCGACGACGCACGGCCATGCGGGCAATGGCCGAAACCCGTGCTCTCCAACCGGTCTATCAGGTACAGTTGCAGAACGTGTCGGGCCAACCTGTGTCCGTCGACCGATGGTTGGAAGAACAAAGCGTGCCTTGCCATGTCCAGAAATACGGCCAAGATACTTGGTAAGTGAAATATTTCAGCATTCCACCCGTCTCAGACTCCGGCGCCACTCTCTCTTCGAACCTCTTGGCCCTGCATCTCGATGATGTAGTGTGGGGACACTAGGGCTGGGCTCTCGGTCCCTCCGCCCTATAGGGATCGGCGGGTTTTCGTGGAGGCGGATCCATGTTTCTGGGCAAGGCATTCTTGCCCACGAATACCCCCAATGCCAATTCGCCTCGTTCCTGGATAAACACACCATGATCTTGGCTAGAGATAACAGACCGCGCCAACGGCCCTGGACAAATCACCTAAATCTTGTAGAAGCAAGCTAACTCGCCCAGCCCCATCTGTCTCTCGGCATTGTCGTCATCCCCATACCTCGCCTGTCCCGACACAGCCGTCCTGGCCCACGGCCAGCACAACCACAACCCGACTACACGGCCAGAACCCCCCTGCACCTGCGGGGCACAGCATTCCCCACCTGATAACGAGGTCCTCGTACTGAACCGCTGCAAGCACGCCTTTCACCTCGATTGTCTCAAATCCTGGTTCGAATACCGTCGGTACAAGTGCCCGATCTGCCAAGCTTCGTATTCGCCAGAAGAAGAGGCACGCGAATAATTCTCTGAAATAAGTGACTTGCTGCATGCATGATCCTGTTTGGAGTTCTTGGCCAAGTGCAATTTCTTATTGATATTGTGAGCGGTGATACCCTCCAAGACTTTGACTAAGGCTTCTTGCCTTTTCTTCATTACCTGCTTTTCCTCACTTTGCTTTTGCCCGTTTCTTTTTCCTTTGACTTTTTTTTGCTTTGAGATATCCCTCAACGTGACACGAACATATTCATTCAGCTCTTTGATCTACATTTATACATCTGTTGTTCATGTGTCCAAATAAGCTCAGGGGAAGACCTTGTTTTATGTATCCATACGCAAGCGTAATAGAGGGAACTATGGCCACTACGACCGTGATAAAAGGGGTCCATGTATACAACTGAATGGGCACCTTCATGGCGTAGCTTGACACCTTCAAAGGATGACCTGTTCAACACTTTTCCCCTAGCACTCTTTTCACACTAACTCCTTACAAGCAACTAATGCACTAAATTGTCATGGTTGTACACTTCCCTCTTCCCTCTTATGCTATAGTCAACTTTGAGCAGTCGGGCACCGGAATAGGAAATTCATCTCGGAGCTCCGCATTCTCCGTCTGTTATGGAACCACCATTTAAGCTGCCCTCTTTCCCTTTCCCCCAAAAGGATATACAAACTCTTTGCATACTGGCATCCAGACTCTCACCATACCACATATACCTCTATCAAAATCAAATATCGAATCCCTTCCTTCGCCACCATGGACTTGACTCCTGAAGAAATCAACCTCGTCGAAATCGCAAGAACAACTATCAATGCAATCCCCAGATCAGATACCTACAGCGTGGCCAGCGCAGCCCTCTCAGTCGACGGCCGGGTTTTCACCGGTGTGAACGTGTATCACTTCACAGGCGGACCATGTGCCGAGCTCGTGGTACTCGGTGTGGCCGCGGGTGCCGGTACTCCTCGTCTATCGCATATCGTTGCTATTGGTGAAGACGGCCAAGATGGAGTTGTTCTCAATCCCTGTGGTCGGTGTCGACAGGTGCTACATGATTTGCATCCTGGGATTCGGGCTGTTGCGTGGAAGGATGGCGAGGTCAAATCTGTTTCTATTAATGAGTTGTTGCCTTGGGGTTATGCGGCTAGAGAGTAAGAGAGAGATATCCTATGTACATAATATATATGCCCGGAATATATATGCACGAGTAACACGTCATTGAAACACTAACAGTCAGGCCAATTTAAAGATACATTTCTAATAATCTAGACTGTAATTTGACTCCATACCTAGTTCGCTAACAACTCGAGTATATTCAACCGGCATAATCTCTCCACGAGACAATCTCCTTTAAAATACATTTCACCAAACTAGATCCTAATCTGACTTCATGGTCCACCGATGACGCGCATCAAATCCAAGTAGCATAATCACTTCCCAAAACAGTCTCCTTTGTGACCGCCGCCGAGATAGGCGTCTCGAACTGGCGCGCAGAAGTATCCGAACCCGCCCCGGAATTATTATACTCATAGTACAGTGGTGTAGCTCCGTCCGCCATTGTCGTCCATCCCTTGGCATTGACCACACTGCGCAGGCTGGAGTTCTGGTAGATAACGCGAGCAAGGACTCGCCATGGACGGCCAAGGAATACAGTGCCATCCTGGACAGCACTAGACGCGGCCTTGACAGTGCAGCGGTCAAATGCATACCAGGTCGCGTCGGTGGTTGTCTGGCGGGAACTGGCGGTTATTGCGCCAGGGCCGTTGGAGACGATGTCACAGTTATTGAACCAGGCGGAGGCAGCGCCAAAGATGTAGTCCACGGCTCCTGGGAATTGTTAGTATACAATCATAAGATAGATGGATGTGATAGGATATGACTTGCCCTCAATCTTGCTGTTGGCATAGTACTGTGTTCCCGACTTGGCATACAGGGTATCCTGGTATCCAGAGAACTGGCATGCGTAGAAACTGAGTTTATCGGCATTGGCGACGAGTCTGGCATAGTCAGTCAATGATTCAAACACCAAAGCAAGAAATAGATACTCACGCAACAGCCTGTGCACCTTTCCCAAACCCATTCACCACATTGATGTTGTGCATCTTGAACCCATTGGCGACAACATTCACAGTAGCACTCTTATCCAGCGAGCCAGCCTGGGGCGAAGAGATCGTGTGGGTAATGGTAACAGTGTTCTCCTTGTACGTCTCCGTATCAGGAGTCTCACCATACAAAGTTAGAGCACCGGCATATTTGATAGTAATCTGTTCCTCATACGTGCCACTTGCGACATAGATACAAGCCGCCGCTGAGGAAGAGCCGAGGGCAGCTAGCGCATCGCCGATAGTCGAATGCTTCCCGTTAGAGCCGACTGTCAGGCAACCTGAGGGGGCACTAGTCCTGGCTGCGCGAGTGACTAGTTCGGCGGGTGCGGCCAGGACAGCCGTTCCCAGGGATAGGGCTGTGAGGAGGAAGTTGTGTGGATACATTTTGTGGAAATTGTTATTTTACCGGAGAGAAGGGAATGATTGTCGGTTTATATACGGAGTACGGGGAGTACTCCGTACGCTTTGATAGATATTGCATGCAATAGAAATAGTCCACCGGATCTTTTGTATAGTAAAAGAGGTATATTTATCCGAGAGATATTTCCATAAGCGGCATGATTTCCTCGGCCATCTCTAAGGGGTAAATATATTTAAACAATTATATCCACAGTATATTAATTGTCTCATTCTTTTCAATTTAACACTTTCCACTTGTTTCACGGACTTTCGGGGAGTTCCGCAGCTCGTGGCTCTAATGGAAGTGGATATGTAGGGCAGATAGTAAGTAGCGTAGATCAAGAGGAAAATTAACGCGGAGAATTCGCCGGGGGACAACTCATCCGGTAATCAAAAACAGTATCTGTACACTACTCTTTCTGAGAATGAAGAAATGATATTCATTGAAGAAAATTATTCCTCGAATGGAGGGGCCTGTGGCTAAAATAGAGCCGTTTCAAAGGTTTCAGGTTGTCTCATTTATCCGTTGAAACATCCACGTGCAAAACACATGAGAGGAGAAAAGGAGAGCAAATGAGAAGAAAAGGTTATAAAAGCTACGGATTCACTAGAGACGTAGTTATTCCCAGACCATAGCTGTGATACCTCCAAACACTTGCGCCATGTCGATAACAAAAGCCCTCGCAGTCTTTGCGCTCCTCGGCTCATCTCTCGCCCTACCAGAGAAATCAAGACATAACCATGCCCGTGCTTCACCTTGCACACCAGCAGCAGGTGGTTCTGCTTCAATCGACGACGTTCCCGCTATCACATCGGCAATCGCCTCATGCGGCAAGGGAGGCACTATTGTCATCCCCGCCGGCAAAACCTACTACTTGAACAGCCCACTGGACTTCGCAGGATGTGTTGGCTGTGACTTTCAGCTGGAAGGCACCTTGAAATTCAGCTCATCGACAGATATATGGGAGGGACAGACAGCAATGATCAATATTAAGAATATTGATGGACTTAAGATCCGATCTCTGACAGGCAAGGGAGTCATTGACGGGAATGGGCAAAATGCGTACGCATTTCTTTCCTTTTGTGTTCTTCAACACTCATTCCAGTTCACTAATATGGTGTATAGATGGGACCTTTTCGCAAAAGACAGCAGCTACAAGCGCCCAACCCTCCTCTACATCACTGGCGGCTCTAACATCGAGGTCTCAAACCTCCGCCAAAAGAACCCACCCAACGTCTTCAATTCCGTCAAGGGTGATACCAAGACAGCGAAATTCTTTGACCTAAAAATGGACGCCACATCTAAAAGCGACAATGAGCCGAAGAACACAGACGGCTTCGACATTGGCGCCAGCACAGACGTGACCATCAGCAACGTGGACGTGAAGAACGATGATGACTGCGTGGCATTCAAGCCCGGCGCAGACGGCGTCACAGTCAAGGACATTACCTGCACTGGAAGCCATGGACTATCGGTGGGATCGCTGGGGAAGAGTTCCGATGATTTCGTGAAGAATGTGTATGTGTCAGGTGCGACCATGATTAAGTCGACCAAGGCGGTTGGTATCAAGACGTATCCCTCTGGTAGCGGCCATGGCATGTCGACTGTGAGCAATGTTACTTTCACCGATGTTGTGGTCGACGGGTGTGACTATGCAATTCAGATCCAGAGTTGCTATGGTGAGGATACAGATTACTGCGTGAAGAATCCCGGGAATGCGGATTTGACGGACATTGTTTTTGACAGCATTAGTGGGGAGACAAGCGGGAAGTACAAAGCCGTTACGGGCAGTCTGGCTTGTGGAGCTCGTGGAACTTGTGATGTCAAGGTTGGTGCTTATACTGTTGAGGCGCCATCTGGGGGTAGTGAGGTGCTGTGTGCCAATACCCCGTCGGATTTGGGGGTGAAGTGCACCCCAGGTGCCTCGGGCTAAGAATGAAGGAGACGTATGTATAGTTACGTTGTGGATGGGTGAATACTGAATAAACACTGAAAAGGAAAGCTCTATACAATTTTGCGGTATATAAAAGTATGTTCGTCATACACGTGCGATTTCCGGTGTAGTATACCAGACAACCAGTTCAGTAAATGTTTATGAGGAGGCAATCGTCTTGTCCTTCACGTAGAGGTCGACATACTGGTCGACATCGTAGTTCTCCAGCTCTGAGCGGTTCCAGCCGACCTTCAGTAGCTCATCGACGCGAGCCTGGTCAAAGTGCGCCTCGAGGTGACGCTTGTACTTAGAGAGAATCTCAGGCTTGGCCTCCTCGCGGCGGAGACGGTGGCCCAGAGGAGCCTCAACGACGACCTCCTCGAGGACAGTACCGTCGTTCAGGGTGACGGTCAGCGCGTTGGGGATAGTGCGCTTGCTGGGGTCGTGGTAGTCGGTGGTGAACTTGGTGTCCTCGACGCAGCGGATCTTCTTGCGGAGATCCTCCAGTAGAGGGGAGGTGGCGGCCTCGGAGCCGTCAGCATAGTCGCTAGCGGTCAGACGGCCAAAGACGAGCATGGTGGCAACCATGTACTGCACACAGTGGTCGCGGTCGGCGAAGTTGTCCATCTCCTTGAACTGCTTGTCGATGATGCGGATGCATGCCTCATGTGTGCGGTTGGTGATCTCCTTGATGTCCTTGGCACTCTTGCCCATGGACGCAAGCTTGGCATTGACCTTTTCAGCGGCCTCAATGGCAGTCTGAGAGTGGAACTCGGCTATCAAAACGGAGTTAGCTGTCGTCGATCCCCATATAGTATCATTTTTGTGAAACTATCTTGTACTTACCAGGATAAGAAACCTTAAACAGAACGTTCTCCATGACGTAACTGCCGTAGGGACGCTGGAACTGGAACTTCTTGCCCTTGAACAGCACATCGTAGAAGCCCCAGGTAGGAGCAGAGAGAACAGTGCGCAGACCACCTTCACCCTTTTGGACCTTGAGAACCAGGTTGACAGCGCGCTGGCAGGCGTCACCGGCTGCCCACGACTTACGCGACATAGTATTGGGCGAGTGGCGGTAGGTACGGAGAGATTGGCCGTCCACCCAAGCCTGGGTAATAGCATCGGCTGTCTGTCTCTCAGTAAGACCCATCATCTTGGAGACGACAGCGGTAGTCGCAACCTTGACGAGAACAACGTGGTCGAGGCCGACCTTGTTGTAGGAGTTCTCCAGAGCTAGGACGCCCTGGATCTCGTGAGCCTTGATCATGGCTTCCAAAACATCGTGGATCTTCAGGATCTTGCCGTTGCCAAGGTTTCCACCGGCGCGGTTGGTGCGTGAGATCCAGTCGGCCACAGCCAAGATACCACCGAGGTTGTCCGAGGGGTGACCCCACTCGGCAGCGAGCCAGCAGTCATTGTAGTCGAGCCAACGGATCATAGCACCGATGTTAAAAGCGCCATTGACCGGGTCCAGCTGGTAAGGAGTGCCAGGCACACGGGTACCATTAGGGACGACAGTACCGTCCACAACGGGGCCAAGGAGCTTCGCGCACTCTTTGAATTTTAGAGCCTCCAATCCACAGCCAAGGGTGTCCAGGAACACCAGACGAGCAGTGTCAAACTGTAAACAACAAATTTTAGAATTAGCCAGTGTTTGATCTGACCGAGCCGGGCTAACTTACTGCCAAGTCGGAATCCACCTTATAGTCGTGGATGTAACTGGCCATATCCTGAATTTCAGGGTCATAAGACTTGTCGGTGTGGACCGCCGGGGCGGTAGATTGACGAGCAGCCATTGTAGAGAAACGGGGAGCGCGAGGAACAGAGATACGGGGAGTGATAGAGAAGGAAGAAGCCAAAGTGGGCAGTCTGGAGATGCGGGCCAAAGTGCGGGGAGATGTGTGGGTCAGGCGTCTCACTGCGGGCAGGGACATTGTGAAAGAAGAATTGGGAATAGGATCGAAACTGAGGATCCAACAATTGACACAACTGGAGAGATGGAGAGGGACGGTAGTTTGTTTAAAAACAAATGGACGAAAGGAGAAATGTTGGGGGGAAAGGGAGAAAATGTCCGGGGGAGAGTTCCAAGCTGACTTCATCCTGCCGAGGGTCGGTTACAGTCGGGTATCGCTTCACTCTACTTTTGTGCTCCCAACTCCCCTACTTATGGAATTAATTACGTTGACCACAGGTCGGCAGACCAATAATTGCACTTTTACTTTCTCAATAGGCCGAGTTTACTACTACATCACCGTCCGTTGAGCTCCCTAATGGGAATCCGAGTATCGGACGTAAACAAGAAAGCAACAGACAATAACTGCAATATGTAGCGAAATCGGAATATAATGCGGTCCAGATGTGCAAGAAAGGACAAGTTAAGAGTAAGAACCATTGTGCTTCGATAGAGCTCACCGAGCTCACAACCCCTTCGCCCTCGGCTGATCTGCACGTGAGGTCGCAGATCATCACCCCAGAGGGCCCCAAACCCCATCTCCCCTTCCTCTCCCTATTCCTCTCCTTTCTCTCGTCATCTCCCTCAAAATCACTCTCACTGCACAATCAGTGGAAGATTCCCATGGCCTCCTCTGTATCAGTCTCACGCAGAGACTTGACGATCTCTCCATAGATAGCCTTGGCGAAGAGCGGGGGCACGGCATTCCCAATCTGCTTACGCATGAATCTCCCAGTAAACTGGAAGCCAAGGGGGAAAGTCTGCAATAGGGCCATCTCACGACTGGTATAGGGCCGGGTGCCAGAAGGGTGGTAGTTGTATTCGCCGCCCCCGCAAGTAATGGTCCTGGCTAGAGAGTGGCGATCAAAAGACGGTCGGTGGCTCAGAGCCCACCGCGCCAGTGCCCCTTCAACGTTGTGATCATCGGCATCGGGAGGAATGTTGTCAATAGTGGATGAAATGGTTTCGCGGGGGAGTAAACCGTGACCAGACACGCCGTGAGTGGGTTGGGCATAATGTGGCAGAACTTCACCGGGTCTATGGGCACGTGGTTAGATACATAAACATGGAAATATAGCTTCGTCTTTCACTTCACTTACCCCGCAGCAATGAGAAGAAGTCTCTTCCGCTCCTGGGGCACACCATATTCGTCACATCCCAGCACCGACCAGCGAACAGAATATCCAAATTCAACCATGTCCAACACAACTCGGTTGAATATAACGGGGAATCGTTGCGGTAATCCCATAGTTTCCTCCATGGTCAAAACTCGGGGACGTGACTCCCGAATCAGACTTCCAGCCGAAAATACGCACGCGGAGTTGGCGTCATCGCGAGGACATGGCACAGTGTGAGCGGGAGACCACGTTTGGCAGGGGGGTGAACAGTGTGCAATGTCCACCCGCAGGAATGTTGGATCATTGGTAAGAAAGCTGAAAAAGTCGGAATGCTCAACCTCCACGTCGTCAAAATTCAGTTGATATGTTTCCAGCGCATGCTTGTCGATGTCAACCGCCCATTGGAGCTTGACACCGGCCTGCTTGGCCCCGCAAGACACACCACCAGCACCACAGTACGCGTCACCAAATGTGTATGCACGGTCAGGGGCAGTCAAATCAATCACACCCTGTCGTTCAAGATCCCTGGCCATGGAAGACTTGCTAGCTTCACCGAAAGGCACAGTCTGGCCTCTCCATTCGGCACGCAGCTGGTTCGCGGGCTTACCAAGCCCTGGGTCTGATTCAGCGAAGGTCAACCACTCAATGGCACACTGCTCCGCACTCAAAGGTGCATGACCAGGGATAATGACGACTCCGCTCTGGCGAATGGTGAGCTTCAGTCGGCAAGTCAGTTCTTCTCCCGGTGTGAGGTTATTGAAATCAGTCCGATAGTTGGTGAAGCGGATGGGTACAACCCGCCTGACTCTCCTGATGCTAACGTGATCGGTGTTCTGAGTGAGCCAGACCAATTCATCGTTAAGTTTTGGCAGGTATGTCTTGGCTTCGGGGTGAGTGGTGCGGTATAGACGCCGGCCGAAAAAACGCAGGTCATGAGGCTGAGGAATCACATCCTCAACACGCATGAAAGAGCCATCATCAAGCTCCAGAGATATTCCGCGCTTGAAAACAATACCCCCAATGTTTATTTCTTGCTGCACCGTCTCTGGCGTTGGGCTGCAGCTGGCGGACCGGTTGCTGATGAAAGATGAGTTGCCGGAGGAAGACCGGTCACTCGCTGAGTCGTCGCCGGCGGTGATGGCAGAGGGAGCCGCAACGTGTGCCATGTCAGCTGTCAATTCCTCAATGGCTTGATTGGTATCATCGTCACAAGTGAGGTCAATGACCATCTGCATGTTCTCGGCGGGTTGGAAGGAGGTGTGGCTGGTCTCCTGCATGGGTGAAGCGATAAAGATCGCCGATGGATCTGACATGATAATGTCGTCGTCAGGCGCTGTCGGCTCATGAGTAACTGCTCGGAACTCTGCGGTGCTCACAGGGACCGGGTCTCCAAACGGAGACACCGAGATACGGGATCGATCATTGATATCAGCCATTTGTGTGATGGTTGACCGATGAAAATCTTCCATACTCAGTTTGTGAAAGGACGCAAAGTCCAGTTTGAAATCAAGGCGAAGAAAGCAAGCTTCGATATGAGACCGATAGATGCTCTTGGAATCTGATAGGTCTCACGTTCAGATGACTTGGCCTTCAGAAACACTTCTATTTCTATAGTCGGGTTCGAAACCAACCCCATGCAAATGAACACAATTTGATTCGGAGAGAGTGGCAGAAGCCTTTGCCAGACCTTCTATACATGACAAGTTCCAACTGGAGCAACACGGATTAGTCTATGTATTTCTATTTGGTCAACAAAGCAGAGATGATATCCAGTTTTGTGCCACATGAAAGACTGTAATAAAGCCATGGTATTCATTTTATCTCATTGAATGTCGACATGGCACTTCCAAGCTGGTTTGTGCACTCATCTATGGTTGCATGTATCAACATCAACTCTGTAGACGCTTAACCCGTTCGGGATAGTGTAGGGCATGGGCCCCGGGGAAATGTCCACCCGTGGACAAGTGGGACACTGCTGACTCAGAATAATCCCCCCCCCGAGGTCGGCCCGGGCGAAAGAAGAGAAAATTTAATTCTGTGGGGCAGCACAATGACCGAAGAAACACAACTGTCATGGAATATTTCCCTCCCTCTCTCTCTCTTGGGGTGGTGTTCATTTCTAGTGATGACCATTCTCTAAACTTCACTCCTTCATTTACGTGATTTGGTTTTGGTAAGTCACATGGTTTTATTGTTTTTAGCTTTCAGCTTTATTCAAAGCTTCCCCCCTCTGTCTCTTATGATGAAATATGGTTTTTTTATAGGTGTTAGACTTCCTAAACAATTGTTGCGGAGAAACACCTGGACTGATTTGAGATACTGCAATCTTGCTGTACACTGTGAATGTAATGGATGAACACTGGTACTAATTCTCTTCGTCCATTCCAGAAAACCTACCCTCCGTCAGCATGTGTGGTATCATTGCGCTGATCCAGGCGAACCCCTCATCTACGGCCGCCGTGGATCTCCACGAGGCACTTTACCTTCTCCAACGTGAGTTCCGCCCAGAATATATACACCTGCGACCGCGAGACTAAAGGTTTTGGTATCACAGATCGTGGTCAGGATGCAGCCGGTATTGCAACATGCGCATCCGGCGGTCGGATCTACCAACTTAAGGCCAACGGCATGGCTGCCAAGGTCTTCCAGGAAGGTGCTAAGGTGGCCAACCTCCCTGGCTCCATGGGAATTGGCCATTTGCGGTATCCAACAGCTGGATCTAGTGCCAACGCGGAGGCCCAGCCCTTCTACGTGAACAGCCCTTACGGCATCTGTTTTGCGCACAACGGTAACCTGATCAATGCCGGGGACCTCAAGAAGCACCTTGACCTTGAAGCCCACCGCCATATCAACACCGACAGTGACAGCGAGCTGATGCTCAACGTCTTCGCCGATGAGCTAAGCGAAACCAAGAAGGCCCGTGTCAACCACGAAGACCTCTTTGCTAGCTTGACTCGCATGTACAAGCGCTGCGAGGGTGGATGGGCCTGTACTGCTATGCTTGCTGGTAAGTTATGAATCATTCATGGTGTACTCTAGTCCATGGTACTGACTCGCCATCTAGGCTTTGGTATCTTGGGTTTCCGTGACTCATACGGTATCCGCCCCCTCATTTTGGGCTCTCGTGAGTCCCTGGATGGACCTGGCATGGACTACATGATGTCTTCTGAATCAGTAGCCCTGGACCAACTTGGTTTCACCAACCACCGTGACATTCAGCCTGGCGAGGCGGTTATCATCGCTAAGGGTGGTGAACCGGTTTTCCGCCAGGTGGCTCCCAAGAAGGCCTATGCCCCGGATATTTTTGAGTATGTCTACTTCGCTCGTCCTGACTCCGTCATGGATGGCATCAGTGTGTACCGTAGCCGGCAACGCATGGGTGACCGTCTCGGTGCACGGGTCCTCGATGTTCTGGGTCCCGAGATCGTCAAGGATATTGACGTGGTCATTCCCATTCCTGAAACAGCGACTACTTCCGCAACCAATGTCGCACTCTACCTTAACAAGCCTTACTGCCACGGTTTCGTCAAGAACCGCTACGTCTTCCGCACTTTTATCATGCCGGAGCAAAAGACACGGCAAAGGGGTGTCCGCCGCAAGCTCAATGCCATGAAGGCTGAGTTCAAGGACCGCAACGTCCTGCTGGTTGATGACAGTATTGTGCGTGGTACTACTAGTCGCGAAATTGTCAACATGGCGCGGGAAGCCGGCGCTAAGAAAGTCTACCTTGCCAGCTGCGCACCGGAGATCACACATGCTCACATCTACGGTATCGATCTTGCCTCTCCTCAGGAGTTGGTTGCGCACAACCGGAACTCAGAGGCCATTGCTAAGCACATTGGTGCGGAAGCGGTTGTCTTCCAAACTCTACCTGATCTGAAAGACGCCTGTGCCGAGGTTGCCCGCGAGAATGGTCAGGAAGAGCCCACAAACTTCGAGGTCGGTGTCTTCTGCGGTAGCTACATTACCCCTGTTTCATCCGGCTACTTCGAGCATCTAGAGTCCGTCCGTGGCGAAGGCCGCAAGGTCAAGGCTCTTGACAAGGCCAAGGAGGCTGTCACCAATGGGTTTGCCAGCATGACCGACTTCCAGATTGCCGCCCACGGAGTCACTATGGACACCAACGGCAAGATCATCCCTGCAATTGAGAGCGAGTCATCGGCGATTGGGGCCGCCAAGAAGGCCAGCAACACCGAAGACCAGCAGAACCCGAAGGTCTCGGACCGCATGGACATTAGCATCCACAACCAGGCTGACCATGAGGCATGATTACGAGACATCTGATTTTAAACTTTTTTAATTTTTTTCCTCCACCATTTTGGTAATTTTGCATTGGGTGTCTGGGCGTTTGTTGAGGGAGCATATGTGCTGAGTGGCTGATTTGCTGCTATATGATGTGGAATTGACGTGGAATTGCATTGAAAATACCAATACCCGGTGTCTTGAGATACTCTTGTCAATAATTCTTGATGAAACTAAAATAAATGCAATATTCCAATGTTGTTGAAGTCATGCTATTTTTCATTTTGGTCATTGTCCCAAAGAGGCAGGTCACGTGTCTGTGTCATTGGCCAGAAGCATCATTGACAGACCCATGATGCGCATTGAATCAAGCTTAACCCTGACTCGGCTCCCTCGTTGATGGTTAAAATGAATTGATACACCTCGATATATCTTATATCAGTTATCGGTTCTCGTACACGTTGCTTCCCTGCAACATTGAACGAAATTGACGCTCGCTACTTTGTACAGGCCCTTTGGCCTGAGCTTCTCTACCATGGAACGCCGCATTACTCGCTCTGCAGCACGGGCTGCAGCTGCATTGACTGCAGGAGAAGAAAACAGCCCTTCTGTCACTCAAGCACCAAGCACAACTAAAATCAACAAACGAAAGCGTCTCAATCCCACCGGCAATTCCAATACCCCTAATACTCTGAATACACCCAGAGTCAACACAACTACTGAGTTGAGATCCTCCAATGATCCCAGTCCCGCAATTAAGAAAGAGAAGACAGTCTTGCTCCCGGACTTGTTCAATGAACTCCCTCACACCCTAGGGTCCATGCCGGCCCCATTGTCCGTAGCGACGGAGCCCACAGTCTCCTCAATTGCTGGGTCTGACAAGGAAAACCAAACTTTAAAGGGCAACCAGGTCGCTGATCTAGCTACTGAGCTGCAAGACACTGTGAACAAAGCTACGACCAAGTTGAAGAAAGAACCCAAGGTTCAAACTACCCCAACCGGCCGCAAGCCAAAGAAGAATACTTATGGCTTGACACCCGGTATCTCTCCTTTCTCCGAATTGGCTCGACCAACCGCTGAGGAGTGTGAAGATGTCAATCAACTGTTGTCCAGCGTACATGGCGTAGTCACTGCTCCGGCAACCATTCCTGAGCCCTCCCTGACAGTCACCGGGTGTGGTGAGGTCCCATCCGTTCTAGATGCCTTAATTCGCACTCTTCTCAGCGGTGCCACCACGGGCAACAATGCCGCAAAGGCCTTTGGCGGGCTTGTGCAACGATTCGGCATTCTTTCAGAAGGCATCGGCAAGGGAAGCGTGAATTGGGATGCCGTACGACAGGCCACTGTGAAAGACGTGTTTGAAGCGATCAAAAGTGGTGGATTGGCCGACATCAAAAGCAAGAACCTCAAGGCGATTCTCGACATAGTCCACGAAGACAACCAGGCGCGCCGAGCTACATTGTTAGATTCTGCCAAGAACGACTCAATGTCCAAGCTAGTACCTGAGAAGGCTGAAAAGGACAAGCAATACGAGATTGCCTGCGCGGACCAGAATTTCCTCTCCCTTAACCACCTTCACAATCTCACCACTGAAGAAGCCATGACCGATCTGATCAAGTACCCCGGAATCGGACCCAAGACCGCCGCCTGCGTGATCTTGTTCTGCCTCCAGCGACCCTGTTTCGCCGTCGACACACACATCTTCCGGCTCTGCCGCTGGCTCGGATGGATTCCTGCCCGTGCAAACGAAGTAACTGCCTTCAGTCACCTGGAAGTGCGTATCCCCGACCACTTGAAGTACTCCCTTCACCAGCTGTTCATCCGGCATGGGAAGACCTGCCCCCGGTGCCGAGCTGCTACCGGCGAGTCCAGTGCTGGCTGGGAGGACGGATGTGTCATTGATCACCTGTTAATTCGCGATGGGAAGCGCAAGGGCAAGGGTCCGACTGTGGTTTCTAAGAAGGAAGCAGCTACTAAGCGCGTGGCTAGTAAGCGTAATAGAACGAGCCAGGATCCCGAGGAGAAGACTGAGGGCAGCGAGAGTTCAGTCTTTGACGAAACGAGTGACGAGTGAACGCATTTATGACAGCGAAATTATGTGGAATGAAGGTGGAATCTTCTACGAAATGAGGATTGATCGCATCGAGCTATGACGATGAATGGCTAAATACAATATTTGTACTCTATATTATTACCTATTTACCATAGCTATTGCTGAATACGAGCGTATTATTAGTGCTAAACACAATTCAATTTCATAAATCAAGCCTGATGTTGCTGGATCGCCGGTCTATGTCCCAAGGTTGTATGGCACGACCAGTACCCCTTATCGTCTTATCGTACGAAAAGTCTCCAGGAACTCCCGAGGTCCCTTTGCTCTCCCAACAACACTTTCCAGTGGTCCAATTGCACCATTCCCGCCATGGATTGTCTGGCGTCCCACATTCCGCTCTCGCTGCGCACTCTTCTGGAGGCCTACGCGCCTCCCGGGTCCGCAGAGTATGCCCCGTACATCGGAGTCGCGTTGACCTCCCTTGTCGCCGTGTACGTGGGGTACCTCTACCTCCAGAGTTGGAGAGAGGCAGCGGTCGTTTTCAATGTTCCTATCCCATCCGAAGTGCGCAACAGCAGGTCGATCAAGACATGGGATGAGGTTCAGGGGCAGCAGAAAATGGTATTGCAGGATCAAGCTCGGGGAGTAAGTGGATAATCCTGGTCTTTGGCGGGATCCTTTCCTTGCTTGTGCTTGAGCTAACTGCTTATCTACTACGTAGAAATGGAACGCTCAATTGATTATGAGCTACTGTCCTGCCGATGGGAGGGTGCTCGGTAACGGAATCAAGCCCGCCACGGTCGAAGATGTCAACGAGGTCGTTCGGGTTGCGGGAGCTGCTCAGCCAGAGTGGGCGAAGACTACCTTTGCGGAGCGCAGAAAGGTTCTCCGAACACTATTGAAGTATGTGAATTGGAAGACTCGCTCCGCCCTATGAAACTATTGCACGCACTTTGCCTACGGCACCCCATGAGGCCTGTTTAACTAACATATGGCAGATATGTTCTAGACCACCAAGACGACCTCGTTACAGCCTGCTGTCTCGATTCGGGTAAAACAAAAGTTGACGGCTCATTCGGCGAGATACTTGTGACAGTGGAGAAGCTCAAGTGGACAATCGACCATGGCGAGAAGGCACTACTACCAGAGCGGCGGCCGACCAACTTCCTGATGATGTACAAGAAGAACACGGTCACATATGAACCGCTGGGCGTGGTGGGTGCCTGTGTGTCCTGGAACTACCCGTTGCACAACTTCATCGGTCCGGTAATCAGCGCGCTGTTTACCGGTAACGCTGTGGTTGTCAAACCGTCTGAGCAGACCGCATGGTCCGCAGTCTACTTCCTCGAGATGGTGCGCGGCGCGCTCTCCAGCTGTGGCCACTCGCGCGATCTGGTGCAGACACTAGTCTGTCTACCCAATGTTGCCGATGCATTCACCTCTCACCCTGACATCGCGCATCTAACCTTCATTGGATCCCGACCTGTCGCCCACCACGTCTGCGCATCAGCAGCCAAGTCACTCATCCCCGTGTGTGTCGAGCTGGGCGGCAAAGACCCTGCCGTCGTCCTAGACGACTCCCGCACTCTCCGCAATATCTCCTCCATCGCGTCTCTCCTCATGCGCGGTGTCTTCCAATCATCCGGCCAGAACTGCATCGGCATCGAGCGTATCATTGCACTCCCTAATGCATACGAACGACTCATCGAAATTGTAACCCCACGTATTCAAAATCTCCACCTCGGCTCTGTCCTCCTTGACACCGCAACCCCAGACGTCGGTGCGATGATCTCACCTGTATCATTCGCCAACCTCGAGATACTCATCAAAGAAGCCGTGCAACAAGGCGCGCGCCTCCTCGCTGGCGGCACCGAATACAAACACCCAGTCCACCAACATGGGCACTACTTCACACCAACCCTGCTAGTTGACGTGACACGCGACATGCGGATCGCGCAAACAGAGCTCTTCGCCCCGGTCTTCCTCATGATGTGCGCGGAGTCCGTATCTGACGCAATCGCCATCTCTAACTCAACGCCGTACGCACTAGGCGCCAGCGTCTTCGGACACCACCAAGCGGACGTGCAAGCCTGCGTGTCGAAAATATCCTCGGGAATGGTAGCGATCAACGACTTCGGTGCCTTTTACGCTGTGCAGCTGCCGTTCGGCGGCGTGCGCGGATCCGGATATGGCCGGTTCGCGGGCGATGAGGGACTACGCGGTCTATGCAATATTAAGTCTATTTGCGTTGATCGGTTCCCTACTTTGATTGGCACTGGTATCCCACCGCGCGTGGACTATCCTATCCAGAACCGGGAGAACGCGGCGGACGCTAAGGGTGGAACTGCGGCTTGGGAGATGTGTAAGGGTATTGTTGAGATGGGATATCAGTTGACGCTGGGTGGGCGTATTGCTGGTATTCTGCGGTTGTTGAGGAACCTGTGATAGGCTTGCTCCTTTGAAAATCAGTTCAAAATTCTTGTTATATGCCGATATTTTGTACTATACATAGTCCATCTTGCTATTGGTAATGCCTTTAGCTACGGGAACATTTAATTCAAAGTAAATTATTCTTTCAGATCTATATGTCGGACTCTCTTTATTTTACATTACGTTAAATCAAAAAATCCGGGTATAGCGCGCTAGCAACGAAGCCTCATAAGACTACTCGGAATAACCTCATGGATGAAGAGGACCGAACTTCTTCAGCCAGTGATCCTCGGTCCGGAAGGAACTCTCCGTCATCCAATTTCCAAATGGCTCACGGAAGGGATCAAGAACCTCATCGAGGAAGCGGCAGCCCTCGAGATCCATGACATCCAACTGACCGTTACAGAACAGCTGACCAGCCGGGAAATCATGAGCATACTCAACCTGCGCAGGGAGACGTAGCAGGAAGTTCGACAACCAGCGCGCAAACTTGCCATTCATCTGGTTATACGTATTCGGATTCTTCCTCTCAAGTTCCATATTGTCGACAGTCCATTTCGTGATCTCGGATGACCAGCTAGGCAAAGACTCCGCACTAGCACGGAGGAGAGCCTCAAAGAAAGCCAAGTTGAGATGTGGTTTGTCGCGGCCTGTGCGGGTAACAGCAAGGAAGTGTTCGGAGGGGATCGTATAGTAGACGCCACGGCCTTGGTTCTCTGATCGGTAGCGGAAGAGGAACTCGTCGATTTTGAGAAGGGAGAGCATGGCGTTGAAGTTCTGGTGACGGATTGCGTTCTGGATTCCTTCGTTCAACGCTTTGCGGTCGACTTGGGTAAGGGTCGAGGGCGACAAGGAGCTCTTTGGAGGGGTCCAATTGCACGAGGTCATGCGCAGCATCTCCAGGAAAGCGACGTCTTGTGGGAGGAACCCGTTGCTGCGGCCTCGGAGGAGATGGGATGGGAATTTGCACAGGTCCAGTGCGGGGATATTGGTAGTCAATCCGATATCCACACAATGGAGCTCGGTGGTGACCATTGGGATGACATGGAGCTTGTATTCGTGAGTGTCTTTCAGTGCGTTCGGAGCCATCTTGAAGAACTCTGGGGGCATCTGAGCGAGTTCCTTCATTGGCCCGCCCTTGCCATGGAAGATGCGGACGCTGTCGTCCTTGCGTGCTAGTAACTTTTCAAGAGCAACCTGCTCCTCTTTCTCCATCGCGATACCGGCGTTGATCCAGCGACGGTAGATAGTCAGGATCTGCATTGTCGGAATCTGTTCGCGCACGCGATCCACGGTACACCATTTGCACTTGAAGACGGCTTCCTGTAAGCGGGCACGCTCGTCCAGTTTGAGAGGAACATAGTCGAGCGGGACCATCATACGGTCGATAACCTTGCTACGGGGGTGTTCGAGCGCATCATTCCAAAACGCAAGGAGGATGAGGGCGCGGTAGATGTGTTCACGGGAGAGGGCGCGGGATAGGAACGGCGAAGCTCGGGGGAAGTTTAGATTGAGCGAGTGCAGGAAGATCTGCTCAATAATCTCGACGGGGAGGGCCTCGAGGAGGGACAAGATCCTGCGGGGAGTATGCGGGCGCGAGATTCCGGGTCTGGGTGAATTAGACGGACGGTCGTAGGGGCTCGACCGCGATCGAGAGGACCGAGAGGACCGAGAAGAGCTGTTCCGGATCGGCTTCTTGAAGATGCGACCAGGTCGGCGCTTCGGCTTGGGGACAGCGGAAGAGTGTGAGTTGCTTGCGGAGTTAGGCGAAGCAAGCTTTGTCCGCGTCACAGTTTCATCTTCGCCTTTTGGTGGGCTCATGGAGCAATTGGGCTTTTTCACTATCTGGAGTACATCAATCTGTGAGTTTGAATCATCTCGAGTCGTTTATGATAACTATTCAGTGTTGTAGTATGTTGTACTTCGCATACCAACTTTGGAAGAGTATGGATACAACGTTGCAACCTCATCCGATTGGTGGAAATGAGTCCGAGAGGCAATGGCTTGGCGTTAGGGCTTGGCATTGGAGGGCATGAAAGTCACACGACAGCACGTGATTCACCCCGCTCTGTTTCTCAATTTGGTTTAGCCTGTTATCAAATGACGTCAAGAATTATCAGTTAAAAAAAAGCTATGCTGAACAAGAAGAATATCTTTGGAAAGGGCTCAACATGGCTAAATTTGAAATTAAAACTAGAAACTAGAGCTATTCTTGAACCCTAGATGACCCGTTTAGAATCCACCAATTGCCCCACCAAGCCTGCGTTGTAAACAGATTCTGTGCTTTCGAATAAAGCCGAAATCAAGGAATGGCCCAGGGTCAGTGTCGAGATGACGGAATGATCGGTTGGACAACACCCCTAAGGTAATAGCTTGTGTATCTATTTAGCCATTACAAATCTACTGCTTCTCGATTTTGATCTTCTTCTTTCATTTTTCATCGAAACTTGGAATCCTGTCATAGCTTCTCCAACGACGTCATTGGCGTCTGCACCTTATCATTTCTGACGCCTCGCAAGACAAGCTTAACTGCACGAACTTGTCTATCCATCGCCTCTTTTGGACACCACTTACGTATCTAAACAAGAAAC